GTGGTGGGCAGACTGCAGGCCACACTCACCGTGGCTTAGACAGATTCTTTCTGATGGGGTGCTCTCTGTTGAAATGGTCTCTGCAGAGTGTTATATACAGTTTCTTGGGCCAGCACCCCTCCCTCCACCTCCATCCCTGCAGACATGCGCCCTGCAGCCCCGTGGCCTTGGCAGTGGTCATGCCACCGACCCCTTCTCTAGGTTGTGCACGCTAGAGCTTGGGAACCCCTCACAAAACAGGAGTGATGGGATCCCCTTTGCCTCCTGAGAGTTAGGCAAAACTAGATGGGACGAGACTTCTCCATTTTCCTCCCAGGCACATCACATCGATTTCACAGAAATCTCTAGAGCTTACTGGGCATCTGGCTCCATGTTCATGTGAACCTCAAATGTCAGAGGATGCACGTCAAAGGTCCCCTCTTCTCTCTCATAGAGCACTATGCTCCTAGCTTCCAGGTACCCTCATGTCTCTCTACTGGTGGCCACACCAGGGGGTCCTGGGGTCCTGCCACTCAGCCAGCATCCAGCTGGGAAACATGATGCCAGGCCCCACTTCTCCTGGGCAGTCCTCCTAAATGATTGTCATGGCGCAGCCTACTCTCCTCCTGGGGGAAGGGGAAAGAACCTGCCCTCTCCCTCAAACACTGGCCTTCCCTGTAATCCTGTGCCTCTCTTATTTCCTGTTAGACTGGTGGGTGAGGTTTGGGGGTGGGTTGGGAAGGGTGGTAGGACAGAATTTTTTTTTTAAAGATTTTATTTTGAAGTAATCTCTACACCCAGTGTGGGGCTTGAATTTACAACCCTGAGAACAAGAGTCACATGTTCCAGCCAGATGCCTCTGACAGAACTTTTTTAGTGGTAGGGCCATTTCTGCTGCCTCTTTTTTTTTTTTAAGGTTTATTTATTTAATTGAGAGAGAGAGAGAGCGCATGCACATGCGTGAGCAGGGGGAAAGGCATAGGGACATGGAGAGAGAAAATCCTCAAGCAGACTCCCCGCTGAGCATGGAGACTGACGCAGAGCTCGATCTCACGACCCATGAGATCATGGCCTAGGCTGAAACCAAGAGTTGGCCGCTTAACCGACTGAGCCACCCAGGTAGGTGCCCCTCTGCTGCCTCTTAATAAGCTGGCTAACTCTAGCTGCTGGGGGCTTTCTCTAGAATGTGAAGTACTTAAGAGACTTTAATTTTGGGCCAGAGCAGAGTTTTAGGACGCTGAACTATGACACCTATTACATATATATTAAAACGTGTACCCACAGATAGATGTAAAATGATTATGGGTATATATCCTAGGCCCTAAAAAGATCAGGACACCCTCCTGTCATTCTTCTCATATACAATTCACACAAAAAAACCTTAATCCATGACAAGGGCAAAGAAGGGCAATGCATTCTGTTTTTCCCATGACTACAATTTTTATTTTTCCAAATGTCAAATTTCAAAGTTTTTAAAAACATATATGCATTCCTAGTGCCCCAAACACTATCTCTGGTCTTACTGAGAGGAATTAATAAGTGAATAAATATGCAAGTACTTTATGTGATCTACAAATACATGCAAGTACCATGATTACATGTATTGTATATGCGATTTTCTATGTATAAATACACATACCTACAAGCCTTATTTCAGTTTGGTATATGAAAATAAGTTGGTTTCTGGAATACATTTTTTATTTCACTGGTATATACCAATCAAGTAAGACTACAGCCAGTCTTGAGCCAGACTGACTGGGTTTTAAGCCTGGCCCCATGATTTTAGGCACATACCTTAATTTCTCTGAGCCTCAATTTCCTCATGTGTAAATGGGGATAATAATAGTGTCTACCTCATGGAGTTGTTGTGAGAATCAAGTGGATTAATTCATAAAAGAAAAAACCACTTAATTAACCTTAGAAAAGTGTCTGGCCCATAGTGACCTCTGAAAGATGGTTTTTTGTTTTTTTTTTTTAAAGATTTTTATTTATTTTTTAGAGAGCGAGCGAGAGAGAAACAGCATGAGAGGGGAGAGGGTCAGAGGGAGAAGCAGGCTCCCCGCTGAGCCGGGAGCCCGATGTGGGACTCGATCCCAGGACCCTGGGATCATGACCCGAGCCGAAGACAGACGCTTAACCATCTGAGCCACCCAGGCGCCCAAGATGGGTTTTTATTATATAATCTTATTAGCTACAGAGAAAAATAGGAAATTTCTTACTTTTTCTTGGATCTTGGTATTTTGGCTATTAATCATAGAAATAAAATGGATAAAATTAGCATTTACTTTGTGATGAAGTTGACTTTTAAACATTTGCCTTAAAGAGTGACCTGGGGCTAGGGGCTAGAGTGGAATGAGAAAGCTCGAGATGACCAGAGTCAGAGGTACCTGCCATCAGGGTAGCAATCCTACATGCACCTGTGGAGAACTCAGAGAGCAGGCTAGTGAGCCACCCAGGCAGGGCGGTCAAGGGGAAACAAATGGAAATGTATGTGACCATCTATATTCCCAGGACTGATGCTGGAAATTCGTTATTAAGTAACAGATCCGTAAAGCTCTTTGTTCTCATTCTAGCTCGCACTTGCTTTCCTTCTATTGCTTGCTGTTGGCTATATTCAGCTCCCCTTTGAAATGCCGAAGGTTTGCAGATTCATATCGAAGGGAAAAGTTTGACCTAACAATTCTTTTCAAATGGCTTCTCAATATTTCTTTTACTGTTTCAGCCTCATCGCCTTCCTACCTCGTGCTTGTGCCCAGCTCTTACTAGCTTTGTTGGCTTACCTGACTCAAATTGATTTCGTTGAATTTTCTGGAACTGGAGGCAGACCGTTTATATATTTATTTCCTTGCATCCTTTCTATTTTTATCTTTCCATTTCTAGCTTTCATTCTAAACTTATCACAGATGCTAAGCCTTAGCAGTCTTGATCTTCTCAGCAAATATTTGCCAGGTTGTAATTTTTTATTTATTATCAACAGCCAAATTTAAACAAGGCTAATCTCTATCTAATTTGGTTTGCGTGAGCCCCAGTCTTGGTACTTAAAGAAAGCAAATGCTAATTGCTTGTTCTTTCTTAAGTGTGTTCTTCCCTTGTCCCTCATGCACCTCAGTTCTTTTTTTTTTTCAAATAAAAATAATTTGGGGCAGTAGGAACCACATTTGGATCTAAAGTTTAAAACAAAAAGTATTTTGGCAAGAACACCCTTAAGTATAGAGCTGGTTGGGGGATGGGGGATCTGTGTGTTAGCCTCGTCTTGTTATTGTCCTCTTTCCCTTCTTTACTGCCTTGGTGGGGGCGGGGGAGGGGGCGGGGTACTCCAGGTGGTCCCAGCTTGTTGAAGGGGTCCTGCAGCTGCTGCACCCTGAGTGGCAGTTGCTGCCCGAGCTTGGGTTCTGTACATGGCAGAGGTAGCGTTCCTAGTTTTATGTGTATATGTTTGGACTTCCATATGTTGTATGTGTATATGTGCTGACGTCAGGGGCAGAACTTCTGACGGGTGGCCAGGGTAGGCAGTGGGGAGAGGGGAGTGCTGCAGGTGGCTGTTGAGGATGTCTTGAGAGGTTTTTCAAAACCCTAATGTCACTTTTAAAATAGGTATCTTAATCAGAGGCTAAATTCGGATTCTGGTCTGTCAAACAATAGCTTGCGAAAGCACATGTCTGTGCTGCCCTCCTTCTGCTGGTTCCCGGCTGCTTCAGGAGCTGTTTCCTGCTCATGGCTGCTGGCTGTTGTTACAGCATTTCCTCCGTCACCTTTCTGTCTGGGATCTGGCAGATCCCACCTGGCCCACGAGGCTTAGCCTCCTCCAGGAAGCTCTTGGTGCCTGTTCCAGTCCCGAGCCACCTCTCACTATTCTGACCTAGACGTCAGCACACTACTGCTTGTAGGTCAGCCCTAGCCATCTGTCTGTTTTTGTAATGAAAGTTTGGTTAGGATACAACGATGTTCATTTGTTTACATGTCATCTCCAGCTCTCTTTGAGATACAGTGGCAAAACTGAACAGCTGTGACAGAGACCATGTGGCACACAAAAACTTAAAATATTTTTACTTTCTGAACCTTTGCAGAAAAAGTTTGCTGAGCCCCCTCCTAAAGTGAGAAAGCTTAATGTATGAACCTCCCAGCATGATGTATAATGAATGCCCCTATTGTGCACTGTGCAAATCTCTCACTTTAGAATTCAGTATAGTTTTAAAAATTTATGTTATTTTTTTCTAAAGATTTTATTTATTTATTTGACAGAGAGAGAGACAGCACAAGCAGGGGGAGCAGCAGGCAGAGGGAGAGGGAGAAGCAGGTTCCCTACCGAGCAAGGAGCCTGATGCAGAGCTTGACCTGAGCTGAAGGCAGACACTTAACTGACTGAGCCACTGAGGCACCCCCCATTTTTTTTAAAGATTTTATTTTTATATAACCTCCACACCCAATGTGGGGCTCAAACTCACAACCCTGAGATCAAGAGTCACATGCTCTACTCACTGATCCAGCCAGGCGCCCCAAGAATTCAGTATAGTTTTTTTTTTTTTTTTAAGTAGTTCCCAGACATTTTCCTCACTGAACAAAAAAAATCTCAAAATTACACTTGGAAATTGGGGTGGTTTCCCCACAAAGGACAAAGAGAACCCACAGGCAATTTCGTTTTCTAGAGACAACATCCATTTATTGCCATCCTTAGGGGATTGCAGAAAAGGCTTCCAGAGCATAGCTTTGTACCTAAACCAGTTTCTTTCAACCAAGAATTCTTACTCGTTACTGATTTCAGTGTAAGAACATAAATGTTATCAAATTTCCATAAAGATGTGTGAAGATGTAACTTAACCAAATCATTCATATGGAAGTCCAAATATACACACAAAATTAAAAGGTTAGCATTTGTTTAAAAAAATAATTCTTCCTGGGATCCTTTTAGACACTCAGGTGTCCCACTTTACAGGAGCTTGACTAATGGTAGGTGTGAGGTGAGAAGATATTTAACTCCGTTCCAGAGCTAGAGTCGTTCACTGCTCTTCTCTCCTGCCTAGCGGCCAGCCTATTCCCAGGGTGGAGTACACAGAGGAAGAGACCAAGACGTGGGGCGTCGTGTTCCGAGAGCTCTCCAAGCTCTATCCCACTCATGCTTGCCGGGAGTATTTGAAAAACTTCCCTCTGCTGACTAAATACTGTGGCTACAGGGAGGACAACGTGCCTCAACTTGAAGACGTCTCCGTGTTTCTGAAAGGTAAGGCTTCACACAGGCTGTCTCTTGCCCTCCTAGCCAACACCCTTGCTTGCCTCCCAAGGACACACGGGGCAGCAATGGCCCATTTTACAAAAAAGGAAAAGCTCCCTTTGATTTAAAGAGAGGAGCACTGAGCCAGCAACTCCCTGGGGCCACCTGCAGGAAGCAGAGCAGGGACTGTGGGCAGGGAGAGGGACCCTGCCGTTCACACCGCTCAGGGGCTTGGGGGGGTCTCTCGTGGTTGGCTGTTCTAGGTGTTAAACCCCAAAGGATATTTGCAAGTTCAGCTTTGAGCTCTTTCTGGTCCAGGAACTACTCTGTGGGGACTACATGGGGATGGAATGACCTCAAAGGTGACATTTTATTTGCTTCGTTAAAAATTACATATTGCATGAAGAAGTATCATGGATAATGCTGAACACTAGTGACTTTCCTTTGGGGGATACCAGTCAATTAATCAAAGAAATATTGTTATATATACGTGATGTGCCGGGGCTATACTCATGGCTGATACGGTATGGAACAAGATGAGACAGAGTGGCAGCTCAAGTTCATGTCCTTGTGTGGTCACTCTCCTCACTGGCTCTCCTGGGACAGCAACTGGGGAAGTTTGTAGGGGTGGCAGGAGGAGGCCAGGTTTTACGGGGGCCCCACTCCCTCCTCTGAGCTTCCCTGGGGTTGCGTCCCGGGTTCTCAGTTCTTTTCTCTCCCCGTCTCAAGCGCAGCAGTTGTAAAAGTAAAAGCCTTGCTGCCTTCTTCTTTCTTGGAACTCCCTTCCTCGCCTGCCTACCCTCTTTCTATCGGTGACAGTTATTCTCTAGACTCCTCAGGCCCACCTGTAAGGACCCCCCTCTGAATTCCTCCCCACTCTCCTCACTATGTAATCCATCTTTGTATTAATTTCCTATTACTGCTATAAGACAACACCACAAACTTAGAGACTTAAATAAGACGAATGTATTACCTTACTGTGCTGCAGATGGGAGGTCTTGGCTGGGCAGCATTCTTTCTGGAGGCTTCTGTTTCTTTGCCTTTTTCAGCTTCTGGAGTCTACCTGCATTCCTTGGCTCCTGGCCTTTTCCTTACATGGCTCCAACCTCTTGCTTCCTTGGTCACATCTCCTTCTCTGACTCTGACCCTCCTGTCATCCTTTTATCAGGACCCTTTTGATTATCTCAGACCCACCTGAGTAATCTGGGGTAATCGCTCCACTGAAAATCCTGGAAAACCCGTTTTGCTGCATAGACACAGGTTCAGGGCGTGAGGCCAGGGGCATCTTTGGAGGCTGTGACTCACCTTGCTGCAGCCCCACAAATGGCCACTTCTAGCTTTGCTACCCATTGTGAGCCTACCCACTGCCACCACCCAAACTGAGGTCCCCATTTTACAACCTTGATGCCCGTATTTTCTCCCCTCCACTCGCTTGTCCTCTGTTTCCCAATGAAGCTTCCTAAAGCATCACTCCCTTCCAGGCATCTCTGCTCAGAAGCTATCAGTGGCTCCCCTTTGATTTTACTGGGGTTGGACTTTTTTTTTTTTTTTGGTAAAGGCCAGATAGTGAATATTTCCCTTTTTGTGGGCAAAATGGAGGCTTCTCTGTCAGTACTTAGATAACTGTTTAAGCGTGTCCATTAAAAAAACGTAAAAATTATTCTTAGCACGTGGGGTGTACAGGACAAGCTGGACTTGGACTACGGGCCATGGTTTGCTGATCTCTGGTTTATATGCTCCAGTTCTGAACTGCTCAGCCTCAACTCAAGGCCCCGACCTGGCTTTCTGAGATTGTGTAGAGTGATGACTGCGCCATACAAACCCTCTGTTCTACCTGTGGGCTCTCCACACCTTTGCTCAGGTTTTGTCCCTTGCTAGAAAAATCCTCTCTCCTCCACTCATCAAATTCTACCTATTCTTTAAGACTCAGAGCAAGTCCTGCCTTCTGTCTGAATCCTGATCCTATCAGTCACCAGGACTTTTCCCTTTCGGAGTTCATCCTAGATCAAGTGTGTATCAGGGGCGAGGTAGGCGTGGTCTGAGAGCAGGTACTCGGAGAACCATGCCCAGCACAACGGGAGAGCCCCGTCATCCATGATATTTGTTACTACGGGAAAAAGACTGAGAACCACTAATCAGTATCACTTAATTAGTGCCTAATTACATAATGCCTTATGTTGTTGTTTAACTGGATTATGTTCTCCCTAAAGGCCTTGCCTCTGGCATGTCCCTGTTTGTTTCCAACAGTTATGTGCATATTATAGATTTACCATGGGCTTGATTGCTCATATGTGGGAATTGCTTTTTACTGCGTTGTTTCCCAAACCCCAGTAATTAGAATACCATCCCATAATTTTTGCCACATCTGTCGCCCAACTTAATATTTTTATGAGAGGCCGTATGGTATAGCACGGATTCTGGCTGCAGAATGCCTGGGCTGAGTCCCCACTCTGCCAGTTCTTGGCTGTGTGACCTCAGATGAGTTCTCTTAACCTGTCTGTGCCTCAGTTTCTTTTCTACAAGTGGAGATAGTTATTTTATCTACCTCACAAGGTAGTTGGGAAGGGAAACTAATTGATACTGATATACCTAGAAGCCCTAACGTTATTTCTTTAGAAAAATTTTTTTTATTTCTTTTAGAAATGGT